GCGGCGGTGGTATCCGGCTCAGTCGTAGCCGAGGCCAAGGAATGTGACCGGCCTTGTGTCAACGGCGGCCGCTGCAACCCTGGCACCGGACAGTGCGTCTGCCCCGCCGGCTGGGTGGGCGAGCAGTGCCAGCACTGCGGGGGCCGCTTCAGGTGAGNGGGGGGGGGGGGTCGGGCCCAGCCAGAGGTTGAGGCTCGAGACAGCTTCAGGCCATAGGCGGATGCCAGACAGAAAGTGGGGAGGTAGGGCCGCCCCACGGTGTTTGAGGACCATTTGCTTCCGGGAGATCGTCGTCTATGGCCTGGAGTCTTTCTGTACTGGAAGATGAAAAGGTTCGAGGCAAAGGTGGGGGCACCCCCAAAGGGGTTTGGGTGCGGCGGGCTACATGGGAAGAAAGCTTAGGGTCCCAAAGTATACCAAAGCCAGTCTCTGAAACTGGGTCTCTTTTGGATAAACGAGGTATGAAAGAAAAGGTGAAAAAGAGAGCTAGTCTTATTTAAACACTTCGTTTTAACATTTCCTTGTTTCCTAGCGCCCTGATGAGTTAGTTTCCCGACTGATTGGATATGTGGTTTACTCTGAAAAAAGAGGGGCTTGGAAGTGATTTGTTTGCTGGAGATAGAAAGGAAAGGGTAGAATCGTGAGATATTAGAGATAGAAGAATCAGTGGTGTTGGCTAAAGGAAAGTGAGGAAACTAGCCCTTTGCAGCTCACTGGAGGCCTCAGATTGAAAAAGGGTCTGTCGTGGAGAGTGCATAGAAGGTTTCTGTTTGCCCTGATTTCTGGGGAATATGGAGTTCTGAGTTGGCCTGGTTCAGGGCAGTACCTCTTGGAGAGATCACCCATTAATTAATTAGTGGTTATCTATTATTTGCTTCAGTTGTGCAAGGATTTCCAGATGATACACACAAATAGATTAGCCAGACTTTGGCCTAGTTCACAAGGAGTTTGGAATACAGCAAGAGAAAGGTATGTACACAAATAACCCTAGTCATAGGGCTGCAGAGCCCTGCACATCTTTGGCAGATATTTACTGAACACTTTTTAAAAAAATCCTCACCGGAGGAAAAGTTTTATTGATTTTAGAGAGAGAGGAAGGGTAAGAGGGAGAGAAACATCAATCAGTTGCCTCCTATATGCGTCCTGACTGGGGATCAAACCCACAACCTTCTGGTGTATGGGATGACACGCCAACCAATGGAGCCACCTGGCCAGAGCTTTACTGAACACTTTTGATCTCAGATATGGAGGAGTGAGGAAGTATGAGGAACAAGGGTCTCTGCTTTCATGGATCTTACATTCTAGTCAGGAAACAGGTAGTTAACAAGTAAATATATAACTGAAAGAAATGAACAAGGTAATTTAGATAATGGTAAATGCTTTCAAGAAAATAAACAGGATTGTCTGATAGAGAATGATCACTGGTGGGTAACTTTAGGAGATGCCTCTCCTTTAAAGTGACATTTGATCTGGGACCTGAATGAGGCGTTGGAGAACCCATGGGAATTTAGGGGTGGAGAGGTTGCTACTAACTGGAGGATGCAAGGGAGACTTTGAGGAGGAGGTGACATTGGATTTGAGCATTTGAGGCTAATTAGGATTTGGAAGTGTGCAGCTGGGAAAAAATTCCAAATGGAAAGAAGGATGCAAACAAAACTGTGGAGACCAGAAAATAAAGTATTGCTGGTGCCAGGGTTTATGGAAGAGAGCTGTTAGGGAGAAGTTTGGAACAGTGGAATTGTAGACTGATGTAATGTCAGATCTTCAAGGGAACTCAGAGGAAGTTGAGGACATGAGCTCTTTATTGTTATGAAGAAGCCAAGCGATTTCGCGACCAGTGTGTAGTGGGGCTGGCCTTGTAACGTAGGGTGTTCTGGCATGAATTAATATAATAATATAATATAATATAATATAATAATATTATAATATAATATAACATTGTAATGTAATGTAATATAATATAATATATAATAATATATAATAATATAACATAATTATAATATATAATATAATATAATATAATATAATATAATATAATATAATATAATATTATTTTTTTGAGGGCTCTTCTGGGTTAGATTGTGAGGTAGAAGACAGACACAGTCCTGCTTTTGTGGAGCTTACCTTCTAGCTTGGGAATAAGGCATCCAGTAATCAAATTAGTATGATTTTGCTTGAGGTAATGGAAGTGAAGAGCAGGGGACAGATAGGACTTGACTTAGTTTGGAATGGTAAGTTTAGTGACTTAATAAGTGACTTTTGAGTTGAGATCTGAGGGGTGAGATGCTAAGGGCCAGCATGTACAAGGCTTGGGGATGAGAGGGATTATAGCAGGTGGGGTAGAAGGCCAGGTGGCTGGAACAGAGAGAGCAAAGGGGAGCATGGTAATACTGGAAAGGTAGGTAGGGACCAGGCCATGTAGATCCCTGTTGGTTGGGTTGAGTATTTTGACTCTTAGCCTGTGAGCAGTGGAATGGTATAGTTCATCTTGTTTTCATGACATTACAGGTTTTTTAGATTGGAGCCAGAGCAGAGATGGCCTTGAAGTTTAGGCTAGAGCATTTTGAATTTTGGGAGCTTCCAAGATCAAGTGAATGAATGGCTGGGTCAGAGGAAAGTTCTTCAAGTTCTGAAATTGCGGCATGGCATGATAGGCAGTGGGGGACCATAGAGTGGGGAGGGAGATGCATAGCAAGATCGGTCTGTCTGGAATGTTCAGAGTAGGTGGACTCGCTTTAAAGCATGAGTGATGGTGGGCAAATGGGTTGGAACAATTAGTGTGTGTCAGGACAGCAGTAAAGAGAATTTGAGATAGAATATGAGCTAGGTCCTAAGTGATATTGTAGAAGTGACAGATCTTTCTTTGAAACTAGTTTGCTCTTGGGAAAAGAGAGGGGGATGGTGAAGGAAAGAAAACTAGATTCTATCTTGGGTGATTGAGAAGATGGTGATATTAAAACACACAAGAACACTGGAGGAAGGGATCTGAGATGTTTAATTTTGCACACACTGAGATGCTTTCAGGGTATCCACCTGGCAGGACAGGTGTAAGCACTGGCGTTATCTATATATGAAGGACATTGCCAGGGGGAGAGAGCAGGTCTGAGTGTTCACATAGAAAGTCCAGAAGGACTGGAGAAGAATCACTTGTTATGGGGAACATGCAGTCCTGACACTGGTTGTCTCGGATGGTGTCACACTTGAGTGAAGGGGCTCCCCTGGTTATTGTGGACGCTCCATTTGAGCTGGTGTCAGTGTCCTTTCCTTTGACTTTGGTCCTGATAATTCCATTATATTTTGTGGGCTTCTGGAATTTGCATTTTTAAAAATGAAAGTAAGAGGAACTTATGTCTCAGGTCTTAAAAAAAACTTTAATTAAAATTTTAGTTGAAGGATTATTTTTAGGGGAAGAGTGAAATGCTAATTTTGATTATAGTGGTGTGTATCTTGATTTAACTTACAAATCTCCTTGTTAAACTAAGAGACATTAAAGGAACACCTTTCTGGTTTGTATTGACGTCAAGTCAGTGTGTTTTTTTCTTTTTGGTTTGTATTAACATCAAGTCGGTGTGTTTTTTTAAGCTTTTTAGTTCCATAAATCTTGTGTTATAATTGCTGTTATAAGGACTCTTTCATTAATTGAAAGGAATGTAGGATAATAGGAGGATTTGATTTTATTGAAGTTATCACTGAGTGCATATTACATGCCAGGTACCTGGTCAAGCATTTTCAGATACATTGTGCCATTTAATCTTTAGGACAACTCTGACAGTGTATAAAATTTGGATTTTTGTGTGGTTATAGTTACAAAATCACTTAATTTTTTCCCAAATGGAAGATACTACAAAAATGATTAATTGCAGAGCATAAAGTTAATGGTGCCATTGTAATAAAAATAACTGGAATCTTTGGTGGATGATTTCTAAAGCAGTACCACTTTCATTCATTTTTATGTGAATCTTCATAATTCAGTGATCTTTTTTTTTCTGCTGATATAGCCGTTGACATTTTTCTTTAGAGGATAAATACCAAGTTAGAGAATAAAGTTATTAAGCCCATTTATGAAATGAATATGCACTTAATTTTTTTAAGTTCTTGCTATACAAAACTTTTGGGAGGGTAGAATAGAATAGCCTAGTGAATTGGAGCCTTATAGTTACCCATGATGTTGAGCTACCTTCTATAGAAGTAAAAGAAAAGAAGCATTTATTGAGCGTCTGTTTTGTGCCCAGCATATGCAGTACTAGTAGTAGTAGTCATAGCAGCAGCTGTCACCATTTTTCTAACATCCATTTTTTCCAGATGTTGTGTCAAGTGCCTTTTAGGAATTACCCCTTTTAATCCTTAGACTGAAGGCATTCCCATTTCATAGATGGGTAAATTGAACCTGGGAGATATTGAATTACTTGCCCAAGGTCACACAACTTATGAACAGTTGTGGTTTGAGCTCAGGCCTTGTCTAATTCTCAAACCCATGCTTTCCACTGTACCATTTGGCCTCTCATTTTTACTGAGCGCAGTCACCCTTTATGAACCTTTGGAAGGGCTGAGCTAAAATCCTTTGAGAAACACCTTGGGCCTGTCAGAATGGCTCCTGCAAATAAGGGTGAAGAGAAGAAGGACTGTTCTGCCATCAACAACGTAGTGACCAGAGACTACCCTATCAGCATTCACAAGTTTATCCATGCAGTGGGTTTCAAGAAGCATGCCCTTTGGGCACTTAAAGAGATCTGGAAATTTACTATGAAGGAGATGGAAACTCCAGATGTATCACTGACACCAAGCTCAATAAGCTCTCTGGGCCACAGGAATAAGGAATGTCTCATACTATATCTGGGTGCAGTTGTCCAGAAAACATAATGAGGATGAAGATTCACCATACAGGCTCTATACATTGTATACTGGTCACCACTTTCAAAAATCTGCAAACAGTTAATGTGGTTGAGAACTAACTGCTGATTGTTGAATATAGTTATAAAACTGCCCCCCAAAAGTCATTTTTGCCTAGATGACTGCCATATTTCAGCAGCAAATCCAACTTTAGATAACCAGAGGTAAAAATTTAGGAGCAATTCATTGCTCTTTCTGTTTATTCTCTTTTCTAAAGTCTTAGAAATTTGTTCCTTCCCATTTCTCTTGTTGCCATTCTAGT